GAAGAGCATCATTCCACAGGATGGAGTGCCTCTCTTGCAGGTGTCGGGAAAGTTCACGCGCCCCAGGAAAGACACGACCACAGCACAGGCACTGCACAATCAGAAAGGTTCGAGCACCTGCTTCTCGAAGATAGGGTCCAAGGCGTCCACTCAGCAGGGCGGCCTTGAGTTCAGGGCTGATTGGAACCTCTGGGACTGGTTTGCGTGGATCAAAATGCTTGCAATGCCCCTTTGTGATGTGGTAGCGGAGTGCATCCATTGATGTGACCAGAAGACCACAGTGAGAGCATGCCGGTTCTCCTTCTACAGAGTCTCGCTTGGGGTCATACCGGTGCATCTGCTGCTGATGCGCTTGCAGGTGTGCCGTCAGCTGAGCCCTGGAGGGGAAAGTCTGCGAGCATAGGTGGCAAGGCCAAGTATGTGAAGGCGACTGTGCCAGCTCCTCCGAGGTCTGGGCATGGATCGGTGTGGTAGCCGAGGCCTCCATTGCCGCGCTCGTCTCAGCCTGCAGGATGGCGGCTTGCAGGAGTATGGGGCAGCCATGTTGCTGCTTCCAAGAGAGTGAGCAGAAGGGACATGGTGAGGTCCTGACATGTGTCCTCTGCAGTGCAACCATGTGATCAATCCCAGGGATCAGGATCTGTGGGTGAGCCTCACGAAGATGAACAACCAACTCCCGGCTACGAGTGCACCATCGACCACACTGTATGCAGTGATGAGAAAGGTAGTCACACAGCTCACGATCCTGCTGGAGCTCGGCCCATTGATTCCCCCGAACGAAGGCAGCAACTCTGGATCGAAGGGAGGAAAGGTTCATCACCTGAGCGCGAGGCAGGCAGGCAAAATAATCCCTAATGGTGGATTTGACCGTTGGGGAGTGATTGCAATTATCAAACTTATCAAAGCTGACGAGTTCACTCCACATGCGCACAGGGATAGTTTGTGTGAAATCAGGTTGAGAATGGCGTGCATACTCGAACGGTCGACTGTGACATCTCATCTGAGTGATGTGCAATCGGAAGGCTCCCTAGGTGGCAAAAATCTGCTTACAGAAGGCACACTGTGGAAGACCTGCAACGGCATGCTGTTCATAATCAACCAGTTGCAGTGAACGCACCATAGCGTGAGCTTTGGTGTAATGTCTGTGGAGGTCAGTGACCGTGTTGAAGGAGGCCCCACACACGTGACAGTCCAGGCCTTGTGAGCAGCGCCCAACAGGCAGGTCCACAGGGGAACACACGTAGAGGGCCTCACGAAACTGGTCAATCAAACGCAGCGAGACAGTCAGCGAGAACTGGGAATGAGTGACAACAATATCCTGAGATTGCAAGACCCTTAAATGATAATCGTGTTGCTGCAGCTTGGCCTGTGCAGAGCGTCGAAGAGACTCGATGGGATGCTCAAGGCCAAAGGCGTGAAGGACAGTCAGGTGACTATCATGCGTGGCATGAGATTGATTCCCAGTGATGATACGCAGCTGTTTCATGAGGCAAGTGACATGCTTTGTAATGACACGTGGCGTGAGTCCAACAGCTAGCAACCCATATTCAGCACATGGAACAATACAAGTCTGCCAGAGCCGAAGCCTGTGTGAAAATGGCAGGCGGCGTTTGCTGTACAACCAACGACTCAAAGACGAGACCGACTTCTGAGCAGCCTGTGACCGCATGTCCTGAGTGGTAGTCTCAAAAGCAGCATAGGACACACGAACCCCAAGATAAACCATGGAAGAAACAAGCTTCAGCCGCGTGATCCCATTTTTTCGAGGCAGCAGTAAGTAGGCTCCATTGGCCCCACGATGAGTAAGGAGAGCTTGCCATTTCCTTTGGTGTGTCCCACCAAGCTGAAGCATGGCGACAGTTTTCACTGGATTGACGGTCAGGCCAAGCTCTTCTAGACAGTCAATGACATGCCCAAGGTACCCCAGGCAAAGGCGGAGTGTTTGTTCATCACAAAAAGTACTACCACCCTGAAGGTCATCAGCAAATATATTAAGACATTTCAGGATCCATTGCTTAGGAACAGTTTGTGACAAGCGTTGCAGGAAGCGAACCATCAGCACCGCCCACAGCGTAGGGGCACCAGTACAACCTTGTCTAACCCCTTGACCACTCTGTTCACAAATGTTAGTCCCCAGGTGGGTGTAGTGATATCGGGTGTTCGAATGCCATTCACCAATCAGGGTGGCAAGACCATGATCAACCCCACAGTCAACAAGGCCGTAAATGAGCTGGTCTCTGGGAGCACTGTCAAAAGCTTTGTCCACATCAAGGAAAACTTGAATAGCGCCACAGATCACAGGACATTGAAGCCCATTGGCCCGGTCATGTTGGGTGAGTCTATGCAAGCCACGAAGAACTCTAGCTTCACGACAGTGCTGTGCCACCCGTGAGATCGGGTCAAAGGTAGAACGATGGGGAAGATAGGCATATTGAGGCCATTCAACAAGATGGGGCCAGGCTTGGTTTCGGATACGGAGTGCCACGAGTTGCATCACAGTTTTACCAAGGGGATCAGTGAGGGCCAAGGGACGCAACATGGAGGGATGACTAGGAGCTTTACCAGGCTTGGGGATAAAGCAAAGCCAACCATCCTTCCAAGACTGGGGAACCATCGGCGGTCGATCGATCCACCAGTGACACAACATGTCAAACAGCCAATTGCCAACCCTCTCAGCTTGAAGTCTCCAAACCGTACCTGGAGCACGGCCCGGTGCAACCGCTTTGGTTTCCGGAGTTTTGGCAAGGGCACAAATCAGTTCGTCCCGGTCAAAAGGCATGGTGGTCGTCCAGCCAAACTGGGGACAGCTGGCGGGCCCCTGCCAGGTGCGACGGATGTGTGCACGAAAGCAAGCCACTTCTTCCACAGTGCTCATGAGCTGTCCATGCATGTTACGAAGTTTAATCCTTCTATCACTCTTAGGCATGAGAGTACGGATACATGCGAACAAGGTGTACGAGTCATGATTAGCAGCAGCCTTGGCAGCTGTTTCAATCACATCGGCAATGCGTTGCATCTTGTTCGAATGGACAAGTCGAGCATGTTGCTTTTGCCTCAATCCAAACTGAGTCATGTGCCACCATACATTGAACACCGTCCTACTCATGATCGGTGCAGGCTTTCGGAACGCATGAAAGTGTTTCCACTTATTGCGAACGACCTGGAGAGAACTAATCGGTGTGTCCAGGGTGGGTTCACGGCCCTGAGCATTTAGGGAGGAAGGGATGGTGAAGTGCTTACTAAAACACTGCAAAGCATTAGCATGACAGTTGTCAAGTTGTGCCACAAATAGGTCAGGATTCGGCATGGACGGGCTAGAAAAGTCAGTTGCTGTATTTGCCCAAGGTTCAGCATCATGAGTCAGGCCATCGGAGGGCCAAGGTGGCCAGGTCAAGACACTATGCACCATCTGGTCCAGCTCTGCTTCAAAAAGCCGCCACTGAGGAGTGCCGGCCAGCCTAGCCTCGCGCCCATTCTGTCGATGCTTGAGCTGCAGCAGCTTTTCCCCATGAGGAACCTTAGGAGCACGTGGTAACGCAAAATTGCATAGCAAAGGCTTGTGATGTGCTCCAAGGTCATGTGCAAATGGTGCCTCAGGTATGACTGCTCGTCGTGAATGAGCATCAACAAATTTCTGCCGAATAAATACAAAGTCAATTCTGGAAACCGCCCCAATCGGATTCACAGAGGTAGGGCCCATAGTAGCATTCCAGCAGTTCAGGGCGACCAAACCGTGTTGCAGTGCAATTTGATTGAACAAAGCACGATCCCGGTGTTGCGTGCCCAGCACCTGTCTGCCTTTGTGAGTGAACACATTGGTACCAGTGACTGGGTATCCAGCAGTTAGGCAGCAATTAAAGTCGCCAGCGAGAACCAATCCATGGCGTCGTGCCAATGCATTCAAGGCCCCATCTAAGGTCGTCCAAAAGGAGGCTCTCGCCTCCATGTCTGCTCCAGCGTGTCCCGCATGCTGATAGCAGGCAAGGATGTCCAAATACCTGGGAGCAAGATGCAACCGCAGATGCACCAAACGACCAGGAATGATGGTTCGATGGCTCAGCAAGTTTCCAGTGCAAAGCTTCTTCGAAATGATGATCAGAATGCCAGAGGTTCGGCCACTGCCAGATCCACTGTGGACAAATAGCCATCTAGCATCCTCCCATGTGGAATCAAAAGTCCATCTAGTTTCAGGGAGGATGTAGATTCCAGTCTGTTGGCATTCAGCCCAAATCAAAAATTCCTGAAGCTTGCTCCTGGACAGTCCACCGGGGTTCCAAACTAAGGCTCCAATCCTGTGTCGTGGGACATGAGCATGGTTCGAGGTCAGGTTCCCAGTCCAACGAGGGCCCATTCGGCCTATCTTCTTGGAGGTGCAAGGAGGGGTCAACTGGTTAAGATGGGCCACCGAAACATCAGCTTGATTGAGACATTGCCCCCTATACCAGCAATAACCGTGTGAAGCAATGCGTCGGAGGGCCCTTCGATAGCTGCGTTTAGCAACACTATGCTTGTTTTTCATCAAATCATGTTTGCTAGGGCCGTAGCCCACTGAGGGAAGCATGCCATGTTCTTTCATGAAGCACTCGTGGGCAAAAGATGTCCACGAATGCTCCATTCTCATCTCCTCCATGGCAAGGAGACAACCCTCACTGCCGTGCCTGCCCAGCCACCGAAACAAAACCAAGATCCAGCACAAGAGGCAGCCGGGCATAGCACTCCAGGAGTTGGGAGGCCAATCTTCAAGGCGGAGACCACCAATGGATGGCGTCAAAGTCGAAGCACGCTCAGGTGCATTTTGGGCCATCGTTCATAGGTTGGAGGCCATCGTTCTTAGGAAGGAAGCCATCGCTCTTAGGTTGGAGGCCATCGTTCTTAGGTTGGAGGCCATTTGCTCTTAGGTTGGAGGCGGTAGGGGGGCATCGCTCTTAGGTTGGAGGCCATCGCTATAATTTTTGTCTGCACTTGTTTCGATGGATTTCATTTGACCACACGTCTTGCGCCTCCAGCACTGCGCGCTCCTCTGGGCGGAGTCCACCCAGCACGGGGAGCTTCTGCCGGGCCTTGGTAGGTGTCTTGCTAGAAGTTCATAATGGAATGCTGGTGGCTAATATGGGATAGCTACGGTTTCTCCAGCACCTTGGCTGAGTGAAGAAACAGTTGTATTCCAAAAAAAACATTGCCAGGATTTGGGATTTGTGTGCAAAAAATGTCCTGCCTACTAGTAAAGGGTCGTTATGTCCGAGACGTCACGGTTTGTACCATTTTGGTTTGCGCCTCTTCCCCCTTTTCAGTGTATGGGGCACATCAAGAACAAGCCTGCCATTACGTCCTGAGACTGCGACAAGAGTGTCCCCGATCTGCGGCAATAGTCGGAAAGAATACCATTACTAAGTCACTTCCCTCCGTGTTTGTGAAAAGCTAAGACTGTGTCGTGTCCTGACAATCTCCACAATCTTAATTGATTCAAGAGCATGTCAGGCTAGAAACATGAAAGAGTGGAGGTTGGCAAAGAGACGGACTGAACTCTTCAATGAATGACTGGTCCTAATTAATTCATGAACCATTTCTTGTGCTGTGCTTCAGGCATCCAGCAAAGCAAATAGAAAGATACAAAAGGCGCTTTATGGAGGTCTGCCAGCACTCTTGCTCATCTCTCTGGCTCGGCACCCGCCGCCTTTGAGGGTGAGAAGGATGGCATTCCGAAGTTTTCCATCTTCTGGGCTACAGACCTTAGAATCTATAGAACGGATGCCAAAGTTAACAGGAGCTCTTGTCGATTATGTATATATATATATACAACTTGAAGTCCAGTCTGACAGGCCCCGGGCAATGCTTTGCCGACCAACATGGTGACAGAATGGACTCGTTGCAACTGAGTGAAAGAGAACATATAGTTATATATTACGCATATTTCCCTTGAAACGCAAAGAGGCTGCAGTATATACATGCATACTTTATGATGCCAGGATGTTATACATCTAGGCTGTGATCTGTGCTGAAAATGGTTCGCACTCCTTCTTGGCGATGTGGGACTCTAAAATGTTTCGTTGAGCTCACTTTGCCATCACCTTCTTATGTCTCTCTCTGCTAGTTGTCTGCTCTCAGGAACTGGGTTCCTAGAGTGTACTGCTATTGGGTTGGTATCTGGGTGGTCTCTTCTGTATTCTGCTATGTCAAGTAGTTCCTTGTACTTCTCCAGTTCTTCCTCAACCCTGTCTGCTGCATTTTGATTTCCTGTTCCTAGTAGGTTCCAATGTTGTTTTCTCAACGCTTCCATTCTAGTATGGAACCCACCACACCTGTACTGCAATCATTCTCATATATTCTGGTCGCATGGATATTTCTCTGCTTCCCACTGAGAATGATCTGTCCAGTGGTCCTCCTAATGGTTTTGTTCCTTCACTTGCTGCTTCTAACACTACTCTGTGTCTTTCATACCATCCTTCTGTAGCTTGCATAGTTTCCAAACTCCTTCTGCCTAATGTTGGACGCTGATGAATAATAGGGCCCTCTATAACGCTAGGTTTTTGAAAAATAGTTTTGACACCCCGTTTGTTTTAAGGGTCCTCTATTATGCCAAAGTTTTCGGTGGTCTAATTTTCTGACTATCTGAAAAATATTCAAGGTTTAGTATATTTCCTTCTGAGCCCTGTCACTGCACTCCCACTCTCTTCCCACTAGCTGGCTTGCTGAGTACATAATTGGTAATCACAGATTTCTTTAGTTCCTCAAAACTCACAGCTTTTTAAAAGCATCAACTCCTTAATCAACCCTCTATGTGAAGCTTGCTCCTAAGCAAATTTACAAGGTAGTAGATCAGGGCTGCCTTTGATCCTAAATAGTAAACTTGCTTGAAGGGTCCTCAATCGTGCAAAGTTTTTCCTCGGAAAAATTATAAATAGACCTTGCTACTACTGAGTCAATGGCGAAAGAGGGCCAAAGAGGTCAGCGACCTGGACATCATCTGAATTGGTTGCCATGGCTCCAAGCTTGCGCTGAGGCTTGCGCGCTGAGGGCTTCTTGAGCTGAAGATCTGAAACTGGAAAGGAAAAGGGTTGCTGGGAATATCTAATTAATTACAACGAACCTTAGAAAGGAAAATGAATACTACAATCAAGTACGAAAGGAATCCCCCCAGGAACCCGGATTTTTTTTGGCGGTAGTTTATTATAGGGGCCCTCCCATTTGCTTAGGTGAGAAGTTCCCCGCGTTGATTTCGTTCAAGATGTCATAGCTAAGAATGGCTTGCGTAGTTGGTGTTTCTCTTTCTAAAAACCTTCCATTGAGAATCAGCCCACTGTGAATTATCCTGACATATTCTTTGGCGCTAATTTCACATTCTGTGATCCTGAACTCTAGCTCATTTGATCTCCAATCAGTGTACTGCCCATTGTCATTTGTCATTGTAGCGTCTTTCCACATGACCCCATCGCTTGTAGAGCTTCCATAGCGCAAAGATCACTGCCGCAAAAAAAGGTTTTGCTTGCAATGATCACTATGACTATGATCCAAAATTTTGAGTTGGATTCCATCGTCTCTTCCATTCTCACGTCTTCCAATCCACACTGGATAGCGTCTCCTCTGTTCAAGCGTGCTTCTGTAACCATTGGCTGCAAGCCCTCCAACACTACCATTCTCCATCTTTGCAACCTTGCTGACTATTCCTGCAAAATTCTCCTTCTCTTCAAATACCCTTCTCTCATATTCTCCAACTCTCACTTGGTTTTCGCTGTGCCAGTAACCTATGAGGTTCATCAAACATCTGCTTCTTTGTCCTCCAAGCGGCTTTGTGTTGAGGTCTGCCATGTTGCTATCTGTTGGCACTTGTACCATCTTCAAGTCCTTCCTGTTCTGAACCCATAGCAGCTTTCCATCTAAGTGTCTCACTTATCCAACTCCTCTCTTAGTCACAAGTTGGCGCGCGCTTGATAAATCTGCGAAGATATAGTGGCCCACCTTTGCCCCAAGAGCAAATTCCAGAACTGCTCTGATATATTCCATCCAGGAAACTGTTGCATGTAGTTCTGTTTCACACAAAGATAAGCTAATGGTCTTCTGCGTCCTGCTGCTGTTGAACAATGGACAACTGCTCAATGCATGGAATCCTCCTGACGTTGACTTTCTGTGGCTTTCATGTTTCCACTCCAGTCTGAATCTGAGAATGTCCCCAAGCACCAATAGCTCAATAGCTTTCTCCTTTCTTGACATAACCTTGTCCCGCTTGTAGAAACTCAAGTACAAGACAATAGTCCATAGTCCTCTTCAAGTAATCCTAGGGACTTCTTCGAGTGACGAAATGACATAGCTGTAGGATTTGATTCACTGTAAACGCTACAACATACCTCTCTTGACATAGGTAGATCCCCGACCCAACAATGCTTCTCAAAAAGGCTAATCTTCTCTTGCTCTGGTAAGGCTTCTGACTAGTCTTCTTCCATCTGGATCGAGTTGTCTGCTGGTAGCTGTTGAAGCTTGACGGGCCCAATCTGCTCTTCGTGGGCTTTCAACATCTGCTGGATGTAGTTGCCTGGTTCGATCCATAGTCCATCATCAACTTCGAGTTTGTACTTTCTCCTTAAGGAAGTGAAGTCATCTCCAACCCTCTCAATCTTGCTAACACTGGTGTCAAATTTGCTTTGAATCTTTGGAAGAAAGATTTCATTGATGTACTTTGAGTCTCCTGTGAGAATCAAATCGTCCACATGGATCAAAATGATACTCTTCTCGTTTCTTCCTAGGCATGGACACTCAGCACTGAACTTGTAATTTGAGTTCCTCTGTGAGGTAATCTGTGAACAAGTCAAACCATGCCTTTGCCCCAACTCATCCAGGTAAATTTCTCTTCACCAAGAATTCTTCTCCTCTCAAGACCACTTTCAATGGCTTCTCTTGTGGAACGTGTAGAAATGAGTCTTTCACATCAAGACATCCTAGTACCTGTGAAAATGCCCCTTCTGAACTTCTCCCTCTCTTGCCTCATCTTCTCCACTAATCCTTTGCAAGAATATTGTTGGTAGAAGCTTCAGTACATGTCCTGAAGTCGCTGGTGAGAGAAGATCTCCTCTTCCACCTCTTGACCGGGGTACCGTCTCCAATTTGGTATGGTTTCCTCCTCCGGCCATACACAATGCACACTGTCAAGTAACTGATTCCTCTTGCGCTTCCTTCTGGTTTCTCTAACACCTGCATCTTTTGGAGTCCTTTCTCTTCCACTTCATCAGCTACTCTATCAACCCATTCTTCTGGATCTCCTTCAGGCTCATATTCTCCATCACGCCACAAACATTCAGGTCCATTGATTTCTTCCAAGCCTGAATCATCTTCTTCTTCATCGCCCCATTCTTCTTCACCAACTTCTTCTGCACTTGGGGATAACTCTTCGTCTACACAATAAAGGTCTTGTCCTCCAACTTTCACCATGTTGATCTTGACTTTCTTGCTTGAATCATCTGATGGCCTGAGTTTCTTCATTGGGCTTTCCTCTTCAAGCAAGTCAAATGCTTCTCTTGGCCTGGACGGCGCTGATGATGACCTCAATCAACATAGTATAGGAGTAATTGGGTGTGGCTGTCCTGCTGGCACTTCTTCAACTGTTTTCTCATCTGCAAAGAGAACCTCCTGCTTCTTACTTGGCGTCTCTTCCCCACTTGGCTTTCTTTCACCTCCATCTCTTTTCATTGCACCAACAGCGGTTTCCAGCGGGGCTGGAATCTCCATTGGCTCTGGGAATAGTGGTTCTTCTTTCCCTGAGTCACTTCCTCCTTCCAACGCCTTTGCCATTACTGCCTCTCCATCTCTAAATTTCACCATTACATGTTCTCGAGGAATGTCTGCCTGTGCTACTGGTAACGCTTCTGCTCTCTTAGTGGCAATGATTCTGCCTCCAAGTTGGTTTGATACTCCCATGAAAATGCAATGAAGCTTTTGTATGTGGGTAGGCATTTGGACCAATCTTGATCTGTTCTCCTGATGCGCTTGCTAAGTACTACCTGCACTCCATCTGTAAGCATATAGTAGGCGTCTTGCCTTTCAACCTCCTTTGTTGTGACTCTTGGTGTAACCATGAACTGTTTCACCAAATTCTGCCAGAAGTCCTTTGTAGCTCTTGCCATACTGTATGAGTTGTCACTGAGATGAATGGGCTTGATCACTTGCTACCTGTCAAATATGGTTCCTCCAACAGTCTTTAGCGAGGTGTCCGGGCTTTCCAGAAGTGTAACATGTTGCCACACCTTTGCCTTTCTGGTCTTTGCCATTACTTTTGCCCTTGTGGTCACCTTCTTTTCCTTTCGGGTCTCCTTTTCCTGTCTTTCCTTTGCCCTTGGCATCCTTCCCTTTGCCTTTGCGATGATCGTTTTTACCCTTCTTACCTTTTCCTTTGGTATCTTGAACTCGATCAACCTCCTTTGGCGTAGGCCCTTGATAGTCTGTACTGCTACTAGCCACCATGGAAGTGGCCCACTTCTGCTGAGATCTGTCCCATTGCAACACTTGCTCCCTCAAAGTTTAGTATTGAACATTGTCGCCAATTGGCAAGTTCAAGTATGATTTGAGTTGCCAAGCTACACATCTCAAAAGAATAACAGATCTCAACTCTTCCTGAAATGTAGTACCTGACTTGACTGTCTCATCAAAAACCTCTTCAGAGTTGAGGTTGTAGCGCACTGTTCATTGAAAATGCTGGCCATGTAGTGGCTGCCCACAAGAGTGCTA